CCCCCCCCCCCCCCCCCCCCAAGAAAAAAAAAACATTTTTGGCACACCTAACGACAATTGCCCATGTATGCATTTGTGTAATTGTTTGTAGATTGAATTTCTCTGCCTCTACGGGAAAGCAGTCAAAATAATTTAGGCATCCTCCTTTTTCTGCCCCGCCACGCTATCCCCGTTGCTCGACAGACCGAGGTGGTCCAACTTCTTTACGCCAATGTATGCAAAGCCCGCAGCACGCAACTCTTTTTCGGTTGCATTGTCATCCCTCGCATAGTCCGGAACTGGTGAAATTGTGGTGCTGCCTGTAATCCGTGGTGGGTCCTTCTGCATGTACATTAATGAGCGCATCTCCCAGTAAAGAGCAAGAACGAAGATAAGAGTAGAAATCCGAAAAAACGTCCAGCTCCAGTCCCTGTTGTACCCCCAAAAATCAAAAAACGGGAGATTTTCGCGGGATTCAAAGCGCGGGTCCTGCCAGTGCGGCTTCTCGGGGTCGATGTGCTTCAAATCGTCAGGATCGTACAGCCGAGGATCCGTCATGTGCCGCATCGCCGACGCAGTGTCGACGTACGGCTTTGGCGGAATGGGAGTCCGCCGCTTTCCGCGTCCAGTCATGAGCCGTAGTAGCCACTTCATTTCGTGGCAGCCATCTTTCATGTCAAATCCGAGAAGACAAGATGCATCAGAAAACAACAAGAAAAAAAAAAAAAAGGAATGGAGTGCAGAATTTCCACCCGTGCCGCAACGCATGACATGAGCCCATTCCTCTGCTCCCCCTGACACTCTTGTAAGGCTCCTTTTATTATTATTATTATTATTACCGTCAATGTGTTGTATCGTCAAAAATTTACTCAACTCTCCCGTGAGAGAGTATACAATATCTTCTTCTTTGGTCACTCTGCCGTCACTCTCTCCCACCACTCACACCGCCTATGCGGCAGTAAATTCGTCACAACCACGGCATCCACCAGACGTACATCTCGGCAAGATTTTCAACAGCGGAGGAATGGCTAATCAAGCGCGAGACTTGGCCCTCACAACTGAGCGCAAACGTGTCCTTCTCGCGGGTAGGACTGTACAAATCAAGAAAACCATCCAGACGTCGTGAGACGCGCCCAATCAGCTGTTTGGGATCAAAATTCCTCTGACGCAAAGACGAATGCCGCGTCCACTCAACAAGAGGTTCATAAAGTAAAGTTTCAACGACACTCATGACAGCGGTTTTGTTCTTCATTTGGCACCGAAGGGCCACCTGACAACATGCGCGGAAGGGTCCGTCAACGCCAAGTATCCCCATACCGTCAACCACGTTTTGTGTCAGGCGAAAGCGCACCCGCTCTGGGACTTCTAGTGACTCACCCTTGTCAAATAGACACGCAAAGTCCACATGCATGAGCTCCCCACAACGCAGATCCAACATGAGGTTCTCACCATGTCTGTCGCCAAGACCAACGATATGCCCCGCAATACTCCAAAGTGCCGTTGCTTGCGTGTAACTGTTCCGTGCATTAAACCACTCCTGATGACTATGGAAGTGACGGTGAAACCAGCCGTGCAGAACCGGCCTCGTTTTGGGAAAGATATGCTTCTGTAGCATATCTATCTTGCTGAGGGACCCGCTGTCCACCATGGATTTCCACACCTTCACCTGAGAAACACGTACACCCGTGCCGTCCATTGCATAACAATCCTCCACCACCCTCCGAAAGGGACTGAGGTTGTTGACCCATTCGATAATGGCGCAATCATCACTGAGAGCGGAAACTGCGTACCGACGTAGCGCAAATCGCTTGCGTCTCGGCTCCGGATCCGTCAAAAAGAAAGTGTTCATCAATGAAGCAATTTCCATCATTCGCATGTCCTTTCGTGGTTCGTCTCTCGCCTTACAAAGAAATAAAACCCGCTCACCCTCATCGCTGACTACGGTTATGCGCTTAGGCTTTTGAAGAGAACTCATAATAGTCACGTGATCCTCCAAACTCTTAAATGCTGCAGAACCTGCAAAGACAGAGCTGTTCTCTGCCACGTGCATGACATTTGGAGAAAGGTTGGCCATCGTCGGAAGAATAATTCGTGTCGATGGAAGAATACGCTGAATGCGCTGCATAAATGACTGCCCAGCAATCGACACCTCCGACGATGAGCGGCCACCAGTAAGACTTGTAGCGGGGCAGTTGCAGAGTTCAATGAAAGACTTGAAGAAAGAAAGCATGTTTTCAACAAGCTTCTTCTCACTCGGGACGCGCTTCACAAACTCAAGGACAATCGCATTGTGCACCGTCTCTCTGCGGTGGTGTTGTTTGCTAAAAACAATGGGAAGCACTTGCCACAGACACTGTTGAGGAAACTCCATCATGAGATTGACAACCGTACCTGTAATAATCCCAACCACGCGAGTGTTCTCATGACCAATGCGAGACAACAACTGTGGAAGGGCCGTGATGAGTTGCGTGGCAGGCAATTTTGTGTCCTTTTGAAGGAGATAACGCTCCATCATTTCATTCATTTTTTTAAGCACCGAATCCGCAAGGGCAGAGATGGAGCCGGACCTCGCGGTCAGCGTGGCGAGGATGGCGGAACAATTAAGCCACAGTGTGAGCATGCGGGGTAGGGAGACAATCATCGTCTTACTGCCCCGTCTTAGCGCCAGCCCAAAATGATGAATCGCCTGTAACACATACGACTCGACATTGCGTACCATCTTTTTATCCTCCATGTCATCCGAAGAGGCACTCAAAACCAGACCGGACTCCTGCAGAGGACTCTGAATAGAGCGGTATAAAGTGTCGTAAAACAACGCAAGATGATGGTGGGCCTTTTCAGAGTCACTCATTTTCAATGCCGACTCATACCCCGCAATCACCTCCCGAGAGGTTTGGTATCCCGTCTCCTGCCTCCACCGTGTGACAAGCACCCGCAAATTGGCTCGAATGGCTAGCGGAACGAGCTTATTGTTGACAGCATCCTCGGCAAATTCAATGGCCTGATTAGACATGTTCATCTCGTACAGTAGCTTCGCCACTGTGGTGCAGTGCGATGGGTCAAGAAAACCATCACTAAAACTTGCCTGCTTTGCCGCACTAAGTGCTGCCTCCAGGAACCCCTCATCACGCAACATTTTCGCGTGCTGCATCCACGTATTCGTCACTTCTTCCTTCATATCAAACGCCCGAAAAATGGATCGGTGGAGAGACATCAAAAGTTCTTTTGTTTCCGGTGTGGACTCGGTTAGTCTAGCTCGTTGTTGCAGCAGGGATCCAAACTCCCGAAGGCATGCCGCGTTCTTAAGGAAGTCATCATGAACAGAAATCATTTTCCCATCGGAGCCTGCCGGTGGGGCTCGCAAAGATGTCACGGTCTCTGCTGCAGTTTCAATGTCCGTTAAGGCGTGAAGTACAACCACGTGCTGATATACTTGAGCGTAGCTCTCCCTAAAAGCTGCACGGATAACAGGGGCGATTTTCTGTCGCTGCACTTTACAGGCGGAGAACACCTCCTTCAGCGTCCCTCTCTTGCAAAGTAAGTTGTTGAACGCCACAATGGGTGGCGCCAGACTCACTGGGAGATCCTGGCGAGTCTGGATATTCTTCCATTCACCAAGGCGCCACGCTGCCTCATTCGCGTAGTTCTGCAATGCTGCCATCCTTGCCTCCAAAAAAAGCTTATCCTGTTTTCTATGCTCAGCTGGCACACGTGAAGATTGGAGCAGCAAAGCCTGGCTGTAACGAGACATGAGGTGTAATTGCCCAAGCTGTTGCATACAACGCAGCGCTGTAAACTGATGATTGATACTGTTAGGACGCTGCTGAAGCACCAATTCGCTTGCCTGAAGCGCCAGACTCCATTCTCCGTTGTTTTCATATGAAAATGCCGCATCCTCTAGTTGGTGCTCCTGTGTGCGGTGGAGACTCCTTGAAGAGTCCCTGTCGCCGAGGGTGGCAAAAATACGTTGAAGAGAGATGTTTTTTTGCATCACATCCTGAATGGATGGCAAATAACGTTGGCTCTCGATGCATCTCAACGCACGCACGTTGCTTCCAATGGCTACAGCCGCCTTGGCCCGTGTTGTCCAATCCACTTGAAGAAGAAACTGTTTGCAGACATCGTCAACACGCATCATTTCACTTTGGTCCACATTTCCCACACGCTGCGCGTTCAGTTGATGGATGGTGCGAATCAAATTCAAACGCAGGTGCTCAATATCCTCCAGTATGTGAAATACCTCTTGCACATGTTCCTCTACACCAGTGGCCCGAGCCCCTGGTGTGACCACCTCCCTCATGATGCTTTGCGAATAGATTGAACCTGATTGCTCCTTCCCGTGCGACGCACCTGGTGACGCAGCGTGGAGCAAATTCATCACCTCTAATAAAACCGCGTTGCAATGGTCAGCATTACCTGCCCGCAGAAGATGAACGATGATGAGCGGCAAAAGAAACGTAATGAGGGCATGATCGCCCTTAGCCATGTTGCGCAAAGAACCCATCATGCGCCCAAAAACGCCCTCGCAGCGCTCGACAAGGTCGCAGAACCACGAGTCCATCCACTCGGAAAAGGACATTTTAGAGAAGTACACCGGGCTGCGTCTTTCAGTCTTCGTGATGACACGCTTGTCGTAGCGAGTAGTGGTGTATCCCGCCAGCATCTGCCGGCACGTCGGCTCCAGGTGCGACCACCATGTATATTGATTGAGCTCATCAACGTGCAATACCTCCTGAGTTTGGAGGGGCAGCCGATCAAGCGGTTGCCGCTCAGCGTCCGTACAGACACGCAAGAGCTGTTGCACGGCGTAGGCAGCACGGTCATGCATTGTAGGGTCCGCAGTATTCGCAAGAGCCCGTGGACAGTAGACACTGAGCAATTTGTGCGCCAGAGTGCGCCAGTCCAGTACGTCCTCTGGCAGGAACTGCATGCCCCGCAAAGCCGCACTACGGCCGCTCTTCACAGAAAACGAAATTGTACCCTCACGCGGCGTAAGCTCTCTCCCCGTTGCAAGCAGTGGAGCGTGTGAGTGCGCCGCGGCACCAATCATGCCCACGCAAGCCAAAATGTACTCGATATGGTCGTCACGCAGCTCACACGCGCAGTTGAGCAGCGTAGGAATGAGCTGCGGACTCGCCCCAGCTGCCCGCGTCATTTCCATCCGGCCAGCACTATCAGTTTTGGAGAGATATTGATACAGGGCCCGGACAAACACCTCCTTACACTTGGTAGAGCTTGAGTGCATCACCGACAGGAAGCCAGCAACAACAACGGTGGCGTTACGCTCAGTAATTATTGGAGTATTTTCCACATTCAATGATTCTGCGGCGGAAACTGTATTGCCGCCATTCACCCCCAATCGATGAATAAGCACATTTGTCTTACCCATCACCTTGAAATACGACTCCCAGAAAGCCTCCTGCGAGGAACTTTCGTACACGATACGCATGGCCTCTTCCAGCAAAGGCAAGGGATCGCCCTCATCATCACAATCATCATAACCACGACTTCTGCCGTGACCCTCTGCCAGCTGCTCCATGCTCAGTAGATCCACAACAATAGCAGGAGAGTGTTCTTTAAGGTATTCCTTTGTGCAATTTGCAATTAAATCACGCCAGACGGCGCACACTGGTCGCACCAGTTGTGACCGCACACTACAGTGCTCCAAAATGGCCGGCAACTTGGGTGCGATAGACGTCGCATGAGAACCAAGAAAGCGTATTAGCAATGACAGACTGCATAGGCACCGCCGTACAATGCATATAGGGACGTGGTGACTCTTCTTCAAGGGTCCATTACTGAGGCCCACCAGCTCCGCCATGGCATCCAATACGTAAAAGACATCTTTCGTCAGCGCCCTTCCTTCTGTCGTTATTGTCACCGGTGTCACCAGCGCTTGTAGAATCATTTCCGTCAACGGACCACACTCCACAATGGCGAGCGCCATTTCCACTGCAAGGTTGAAGTTGGAGAGAACACCGTCACCAACATTCTCTCTTTTGTCCTTTTTAAGACCCGTATCCATGGTTTCACGCCGCGAGCCCGCTTCGCGGAGCCGACGCCCAGCCTCGAGGTATATAAGGCTGACAATAAGCGATTCACGCGAGTGGGCCACCATCTCTGGCAACTCCTCCAAAGGCCTGGAAAGAAATCCCAACAATTTCTGCACCTTCTCTAGCTTCACCGACACTGACTCACGGGCATACTCCAACAAAATGTGTGCCATGACCCTAGAAAATATGCCGCCCGGGGAAAGCGTCTCCCAGAGAAGTGCAGCTATTCGTTGCAGCTTCTCCTCACCGCCGTCGGAAAGTACACAGTGGGGCAACAAATCCTCGAGACTAGCCAGGACGACCTCACGTACATCGCTTTCTTCCAAGTCGCACATGGCCTTAAAAAAAGAAGTGTAAATCATTTCAGCATCTCTCCAGCACAAATCAGCCACCGACCACGAGAGGTGCAACATGATGGCATGAGCCGCAGTCAACGCAGCAGATTTGGTGGGAAGCGTGAAGTCATTTTTTTCCCAAATTTTAATGCACACCTCAAGAACACTGCTGCAGGCTTTGCGACTCCGTTCTTTATGCCGTGTTGGGGCGATTACCAGCGGTAGGGACGCAATAGCAAAGGAAGAAACGTCACGGTACATACCCTGACGCGCAAGAACCGTTTGAAACTCGCCGGTAAAGGCGGCCTGAAGCGTTTCCAAGAAGAAATGCTGTTTCTCCGCCTCATTCTCTTCAAAACGCAACAAATTGTCTGAAAGCATATGCGTAATGCTCTCGTCGTCCCATCGAGTAAAAAATATGCGCAACGCTAACGCCGCGTAGCCACGACGAATGATGCAATTGCTGTGATTCAAGCCACGTGACAGAATTATTTCCTCCATGGCATCCCACCGCACGGGAGAAAGCGCCACACACAGGCAAACAAAAGACAGCAGCGTGTCATTGAGCGCATCAGACCCTAGTGAAGACCTGGCAATGAGGAATTGGCGTCCCGCCCAGCCAATTGCCTCCAGAGGTGCGCTGATGCCACGCAACACCGCCTCAACACCACCACCTCTATTGTTTCTGGTGGTGCTGTCACTATTCATTTTTTCTTCCCCCTCCTCCCCTTCCTCCTTTTCTGCTTTACTGGAGCGCTGGCGGTGCGGCTGTTCTCGACATCGTTTGCTTGAAGCGACAATAAAAACACCATCTTCAAGGTTCAGGGTTTCCGGCATTTTAGCCGTCTCTTCCTCTTCCTCGTCGTCCAGGACAATCACCTCCGAGGCCGTTGCAGCTTCCCCATTGCCACAAGCAGACAAATGGGAACGCAGCCACTCCGTTATGGAAACCGTATCGGTCACGAGCGCCACCATTTGCTGCCAAAACAGCATAGGCGCTTCGTCACTCGCACTCTCCTCAAACGACAAATCCGAGATGCTTAAGGCAATCATTTCAAGCACTTCACTGATTTCCCCCAATGTAGTCAGCATGATAGCTGCGGCATCACTGATTGCCTCCACCTCGGCCCAGCACGGCGAGGCCGCAACTAAAATTCTGGATCGACATTGTTGAGCAATGCGTTTTCTAAAGCCGCGAAGAACACCGATGGTACGCCACAATGCCAGGTCTGAGTTTTCCCCCCGTGACCGCATCACCTTCTTCATGAAACACAAGGCCTCGCAGCCACTGCCGCTGCTGATGGGCAATCTTTCCAGCAGGGCTGAGTAAAGCAATGCTACGTGTGGCGGGGAATCCAGATGACGCAGAGTCACAGTTCCTCCAGCCATCGCCTCTAGCAAACCCCGCGCCATCGATTCCATGTCAATTTCCTCCGCCGACCGCAGAAGAATGACGACGGCGTCCGCCGCAATGACACTTTCCCCATTCGCCAGGCGTTCCCAGGCCTCTGAAAGCGTTGACTGTATGCTTTTTTCGTCGCGGAGCACGACGGACGCATTTGCGGTAGCCAACAAGTGTGAGTCCGCCGGCTCCTTTCCATAACGGAGTGTAAGATGTCGTTGGATAAATGGCCGCACAGTATCCAGAGGAAAGAGTTCTATCAGTTGGTGCAATACGCCCAGCCTGGGGGACGCGTCGGCAAGCCACAGCATCGGCTGCAGGATCCGAGCATCCAGCAATGCATTAATCATATCCGCAGCCATGCCATAAAACGCCTCTTCTATGAGACGAGGCATACAACTGTGCTGTGGCATCATCTCCCTGAGCAATTTTAACAATATCGTACCCGCTTCAATCGACTCTGATGAGGCTTGTCTATGAACACACCCAATCAGAGCACGAATGACATCGTTCAGTACCCTTGGTTTTAAAAATAAATTTTCTAGCCACTTATGAGGCAAAGAGATGCCTTCAACCCCATCCGAAATATCCGTTTCCCTCGTTTTCCCTATGACAGGTGACGTCGATGCATCACCACTCGTCACACTCGTTTCCGTCAGCCAACGAAGCAGCTCCAGTTCCCACGTCACGTTCAAATCCATCATTTCCTTTGCAAATGACATCTCACATAGGTGCTGTGTCAACGTATAAAAGAGCATAGGCCCATGAATCGATTTAATGAAGAATCCATGAGACATCATCACACACAAGGTGGCCCCAGCACTCGTTTGAAACAGGTTCAATAAGCTGGGCTCCTTTTCATCTGACGGATATGCACCGGAAACACCTTCCAGCGGCTCAATAAACCCACTCACCAACCTGGGCATCGGACCCTCATGGAAGTCTACAGTAAGAAGACTGCACGCCAAACGAAACAACACACCCCGCTCGCCCAACGTCGGTTGAAACGGTACGTTACTTTTAAATAGATCCGTCATTATTTCGCAAAATCCACGTGCCACGCATACGCTTTCGTAAACACTACTAGAAACGATGCTCAATGCAAACAATGATCCGGCACCCAAAGGGACCCCATGCACCACCGGTGGATCACACAACTCAATTAAGCAGCGGCCGTAGGATCGCCTTCTACCAGGGGTTGGAGAAAATATAAAGGCACCCATCGTGTCTTCTCGCAAAAGCGTGTGAAGAAGTTGCTGGAACACGGACGGGTAACGATGAGAAAGCACAATAAGAGCCTGGTTAATCCCCTTAAAGAGCATCTTTTCATCTGTTGCAGCTAGCAGAGATGGCGCTCCAAACACGGGCAGCAATGAAAAAAGAGTCAATATGCTATGCAGAAGGACGCCCGGAACTACCGCCGCAATGCGGGCAACACTGATATAAATGCGAAGGGCAAGCCAAACATACCTCAATAATCGATGCGGATCCTCTGCTTGACACAATTTTTTCATCTCTTCAGGAATCTCCAATTCATTCGACGAGAGTGCCACCAGGAAATACGGCCGCAACTCAAGTACAAGGGTCCACAATTTGCCTTGAAACGCAACAGGGGGTTTGTCAAGGGTGGAAAGCTCCGCGTCTAGTGCAGTGGCACGTTGACCAAACATCTTGAGAGCCTCACGCAAAGGTGCCGAATCCTCAGTCGATGGCCTGGGACGCTTCATTGCGGCGGATGATCTTCGCGGCCCCTGCTTCTCCACATAATGCGCAATGACCTCATTCATTCCCGTATAATCCATTTGTTCCCTCCCTTTATTTTCCCCCCTCAAACACGTACACAAACCCTCTCTCTCTATATATATATACATACATATACATATATATATACGCAAACAAAAAATAAAATAAAAAGAAAGAAAAGTTTTCAAAAAAAGAAAAGTCAGCAGCTTTCAAAAGAAAATACAAAAAAAAAAAAAGCATGTACCTTAATGCACAGAAAGCCACTTCCCAAAGACAATAAGGTTTCATTTTTAAAAAAGGGTGAATAAATAAGTTTTTTCAAGCATGCCAGAAAAGAGCTTAAGGGACTCAGGAAGAAAGCAGCACTTCAAGCTTTTCCAAAAGCGTATCGTTTTCTTCTTGCAGGAGAGACACCTGTCGAACAACCTCAATCTGGCGATTTATAGCAGTTTCGAGAGCATCCAACGGTAAGGATGACGGCTGAGTTGCGGTCGTGTTGTTTTTGAGCTCATTGTACATTTCTACAATGCTTTGGCCAACTTCCCTCATAGATTGCTCCTGATCCAGTTTGAGGTAGCCGTAGCCACTCAATTTATTAAAGAATTGCGTGGCCTCACGCATCAATAACTCCTTTTTCTGTGCTTTTTCCACGTAATTTGATATGCGTCTCGGCATATTATGCTGAGGAAGGGAATCCGTGACTGTATTTGATGCTTCTGGCGCCGTTGCTGTTGTCGCCGTCGTCGGCCTTGACGGTTCCTGCACCTCAGTCGATGATTTTTTTGCCCTTCTTGCCTTATCCTGCTGCGCGTATCCTACGGCAAGCGCAAGACACTGAAGAAATGCATTTGTCTTCTCGGGCTCACTCCCTGAAACTATCTTCTTTACATTGACATCAATTTTTCTTCCAAGGAGAAATCCCACGTACTTCACCAGCGTCGTCAAGTACTCCACCTTCTTTTCTTTGCTGTCGATTTTCGTCACGTCAAGCTGTTCAGGGGAAAAAACATGGTCGTACGCGGCAAAGCGAGCGTTGATGGATGTCACTATATCTGCAATAAAACGAAAGGGTGGCCTTTTTAAAAGCTTCGGTGTGAGGTCCGGCCCGTTTAACTGCAGTGGCTTGAAGGCCTCGATGGTCGGTGTCCAAAAGTCCACCTCCGCGTCTCCCATGGCCGGGGTGAGAAGGAGGGCAAAGCAAAAAAACCACGGCACAAAAGCCAAAACAAAAAAAACAAAAAGAGTACGCCTATATATATATATATAAATATAATTGCCCAGTTAAAAAAAAAAAACACACCAAGCAAAAAAGAAAAAAAAAGCATATGAGCAAAGACAAGTCAAATAAACGAGGCACGACAAGATATATATATATATGTTTATTGTGTCCACACGTATAAAAATAAATAAAGTAATTACACGTAAATGCATATATTATGCTCATGAAAATGTGACACATCATTGAACCCTTTCACACCCTAATCGTTCTGCTTTCCATCATTCGGCATGGAAGGTTTTTCCTTCTCTTTCTCGTTATCGGTGATGCGATCATGGCCGGTCAATTTCCTAAACTCACCCAGGTTCCTCGTTTCATCTGGAACGCCAAAAAGCGCGTTCAAAGAGAATCGACTTTCCAGACAACGCTGCTGTGATTTTGGTAGCATTCGATTAACCGTTTCGTTATGTGATGCCGGCACAAATAATGTACTTGCCCCAACTCCAAGAAGCTTGAGACCAATATTCCGAAGCGCTATATGCGTGTCATGGTGACGTATCGACAACCACGACTGAAATTCCGGGTTCTGACGTTTCAGGTACGTCATTTCTCTCAACTTGTTGACCATGGCAACCAGACTAAAGGGTGCATCCTTGCCCAACCAGTGCTCCTGAATGGCTTCAATCGGCGTGTAGTGAGGATACACTTGCTCTTCAATGCCCATCCACCCTTTCATGGCATGGATAAGACCCAAGTCATCTTCCGTCCGTACCTTAGCGGTGCGCATAAGTTGCGAGGGACGATAAAAATCCACTAGTGGTCTTGACAAAAGGCGATTGATAGCCCTCAGATAAATGAAGCTGAAGGCATGAGCGGAGATGACTGTACTGTACGTGCCAGGCGGATCTTCAAAGTCAAGCGTGTTATACTCGGGATCCATGAGGGATGGGTGAAATCCCCACGTACTCATTCCCTGTTCCGCCATACTTTTCTCGTATTCATCTTGCTCAAATTTCCTCTCGTACTTATTGTACGACTCTGCTGGACGGAACGCAATAGTGATATCGGATGTATATCGTGACACCTTACGAATGGAGATGTCACGCCTAGTCCCCATGGCGTCATCAAAACGAATGGTCCTGTGAACACTAGCTCGACCCAGACATGCACCAATGGCGGCTAACATATCCGTAAAACCCTCTGAAAAGGAGACATCGTTTCGTGCTTTCCAAACCATGTCCCGCGTCCCTGACTTTTTGTCGGTGAAGTAAAAGGAGATGGTGAATATCTCCTCCGGTCTATGTTCGTCCATGTCGATGACACAGTCCAGACACTCAATTTCCTCACCAAGCTCACGCCACGTCAGGTGCTTTGGTGCCTTTTTGAACTTGTGTACAAACATCAACTTGTGTTTCCATTTCTCCTCCTCCTCATAAGGCACCACTGCATCGTCCGGCTGCGACAATGCCTCAATCACTTCGCTCTCCACATCATCGATGCGCCGAAAGTCAACCGTCGAGTTCTTCACGTCCACCACTTCCTCCACCTTCCACATGCCAGTGGGACGGAGAGGGCCGTAATCCGGTTCCATCGACCCATCTGTCGGCTCGGTGCTCGTGACACTGCCGGATACTTCTTGCGGCGTGTCAGCTGCAGCATCCCCCCCCGTAGTGCTCCGCAGCACAATGTGAGACTTTGAGAATGAGAGCTGCTTGTCGCTGGAATTCCCCTTCTTTTCGCCACTTTCCCCCGTGGTGGATTTGGCGCGTTTCTGCAGCAGTGAGAGCGGGTGGCGCGAGAAAGCAAAGCGGCACACAACCCGCTGCAGCTGTAATGAGCGCATATAAAAATATTTACGCTTCTGTGAAAATGCACCCGCCTTCGCTCCTTTTTTTTCCCTCCACCTTTTTTTTTCCTGCCTCCACCCCGCCTCTCCGCGCCGCGCGAGAGAAGGTGCCGATTGCGGCGTCAGAAGGAACAAAAAAAAAAAAAAAAAAAACGCGAAGAAAAAAAACACAACGTTAATCACAGTATTATTGCTACCTCTCCTTCTTTCTTTCTTTCTTTTTACATATAGAAAAAAAGAAAAAACAAAAGAGAGAGAGAGAGAGAGCGAGCAAGTAGAGAAAAAGAAAAAAAAAAGTTACTTTGAAAATAAAGCCAAGAGGCACTACAAAACCCCACTTTTTCTTCGTCGACACAACAGAAGCGTTTGGGCACCTCTCCTCCTCTCTATATACGCACACAAGGCCAATATATATCCGTATATAAACACATATACACGGCTGCTCACAACTGAAATCAACCGTAACGCACTTCTTTCAATGAGGCCTCCTTCGTTGTTGTACCGCCGTTCGCACATCACGAGAAAGGAGCCGGAGGTATAAGCACTCCTCTGCGGAATATCGAACGTGAGCGAAGCCCCATCACCGCTAAAGGAAAAAGAATTCCCACAGTAATCATCAACAGCCCCACCAAGTACCCAAGGGAAGAATACTGGAGAGTTAAATCGGACATTCCCAACCAGCTGTTGCCACGGCCTAGTAAACAAAAAGAACAGGGGTGAGGGTGCCAAACGAGCGTATGGATTTGGCTGGGTGCGCCCTATTGATGCTACACGCTCAAAATAAAAAGGCACAAGCAACAATGTACAAAGAGAGAGAGAAGAAGCGGCAAAAAAAAAAAAATAATAAAATAAAGGAGAGAATACAGCACACAAAAAAAAATGCACAACAACAGACGCCAGCGGTAACAAACAATAAAGACAAACAAGCGTAAAGAAAATAAAAGTGATGTATTAAAAACGGCGTAAAAAGACGACAAAGATGACGACTCAACCTTGCTAAAAAGCAAGACGTATAAATGTGAAATGAGGGAAAGTAAAGAAGAACAACAGAAGACTCCAAAACAAGATTTTCGCACGGGATCAGTTCTTCGTTTGCTCATGCTGCAGTTTATACAGCAATAGCTTCACTCGGCCATTCATGACCGGCTGTCCTTTAGGGGTCCTTTGCGCATAAAGTGCGTTATTTGCGTGTCTTCTTTGAATGCATTTAATCCTTGTCGCCTCCCTTTCCTTCTTCGCTGCTTTTTGCGCCTCAAATTGTTCCTGTCGTTTCTTCCGAACCTCCTCCACCTTTGTCAGTGCGTTGTGGTGCTTCTCTTTTTTCTTGAGAAGCTCCGTCACTGTTTGCGCCGCATAATTTCGCTTCAGGTTAAACTTCCGCTTCTTTTTCTCTGAATTCGTGAGACTCTGGTCGTATTCGATGCGCTGCAACCTCTCGTTCAGCAAACTGGACGCGTTTTTACGTGCCGAATCGTACTCCTCCAGCCGTTTTGATTGGATGCCCTCCTCCTTACAGAGACGGCGATACTCCTCCATGCGTCGCCGCTCCGCGTCTTTACCCTCGCGACCATGAAGGAGCAACTCATTTCGCACCTTCCGTCTAAAGGCAGCTTGGCGCTCGGCCTTCAGCATAGGCGGAGGGCGCCGACTCGGGTTGCCGCCAGGGCTACTAGTCATACCCTCTCCTTTTCTCTGCCTTCTCCTTCTGTCCTTTGCGGGCCTGGCGGGGGGGGAGAAAAAAGAAAATTAGAGGCGGAAAGCAAATAATTCTATAAAAACAGGCAGCAATCAATTTAAAAAGTCTGTCAAAAATTATAAAAAAAAACAAAAATAAACAAAAGGAACAGACTTTATTTGTTTCGTCCATTTATGAATAGGACCGGATACAAGGACGGTAAAGGAGAGGGTAGTGCACAATATAGACGCTGACACATTCAAGGAATATTTCCAGTGCCTTTTTAAAGTTGTACGCTACATATGTATCACGGTTTAATATGAATGTAATGTCTCTTGTACTCAGCGGCCGCAATGTTGAGAGTGCAGTTGGAGCGTCATTTTCGCAGCTCGCACAAATTCTTCAAGAAGTGCGGCAGGAACAGCTTCTTTGCGGTAAAAACCCCCGCTTGGGAATAACAAATAGTGCTGTTCAGGCAACAGCTGTGCAAGCGACCTCACTGAACGACCGTCAGGCTCGTAAAGAACACTAGGCGCTGGTCGGCAGCCCATCAACGTGCCCGCCTTCTCCGTTACATGCACCATATAGCAGTAACTACTGTGCACCAAGATTCTTGTCGGCTTGCACACAAACGATGTGAAGGTGCCAAAACAAGGCCAGACATTAATCCAAAAGCTCTTTGGTTGCACGGGAGACGCTGTTAGGTTGCGCGGCTTAGTCTTAAGATGCGTTGAGGATATCCCCGGGATGCGGCTACGTGCAGAATTAACTTTACCCAATGGCCTTGTGCTATAACAATGTGGTCCGTCACTATAATCACAACACTTGCTCGTGTGGCACGATTCCCTTGCAGAGGAAAAATCTTCAAACAATGGGCGAGGAAAAACGGCTTTGGAATTCGTCGTCCTTGGAACACCGTCAGTCACTTTGAATGAGTGTGCGTCCACATCGTCACGGGACTCTGAGTCGAGATCTAAAATGTCACTTCGTGGTCCTTTCCACACATGCGGCCCCCTCGCTACTGGTTCCGAATGATTTCTCCTGCTATACTCCTCCCCCCTAAGACCGCTGTCACCTGAAGTACTGTAATTTGCGTCATACAACAACTGTTCATGAGTCGCCACAGTATTTTCGGATGCCGCAGGTGGCATTTGTGTGCTGTCGAGAGACACTCGTGTTTTCCTTTTGCCACTCTCGGGCCAACAAGCCTTGTGTCGCTCCATAAGATCTCCATCCATTCGCTCACGCTTTTCGCCATGTCGCTTCCATTCCTGCCACTCGCAACCCTCATCCAAATCAGAAAGGCAAAAATTTCCATCGAAAGAATCTCGCAATCGTTGCGGCTGCCGGATTGTGGCCGGGGACGTGCCTGCCGCCTCCGTCATAATTGGATCCTGCTCTTGAAGACAGTTCCACTAAAAATGCCAAAATAAAGGGAAATAAAAATATAAAAAAAAAAAACAGCCAATTGGTAGGTGCCATGTATAAATGTATGCGCATTGAAATCAAAGCGGCTACTGGCTTAATGGCATGCAACAATTGGCAGTTTAAAGATACACATTAATATGTAGATATATTTCGTGCGTGCGCCATTCCTTAAGCTTTGAAAATTGTACTCCCGTGCGATCCTGCAAAAAGCCTACCAACACCACCCTTCCATCTCCCGCCAGCAGTTCCCCTCCTCCTCTGCTCCCCCCACCCCATTTTTCTTTTTCTTTTTATTATTATTATTGTTGCTCTACTAAGTGCAAAATAGACACGATGAATCTCAAAGCTGTTTTCAAAATGATGATAATAATAATAATAATAATCACAATTCCGCTCGGAGAGGGTGGAGTAGGAAAACAAACCCTAACACGCACAAGGACGGTCGTAAAAACATCATCATCGTCATCATCGTCATCGTCATTAGATCTAGTGCCTTCCTTCTCCTTTTCCTAGTCGTTTCATCAGTATTTTGTCGTTTTTTGATTGTCCTTCCCCTAGGAGGCGGGCCCGGACTAATTTTATGCAGTAAGCACGGGGCGGGGTCCTAGCACGCTTTCAATATCTTCCCTCATCAGTTCCTTTTTTTCTAGCAGCAGTTTCGCAAGCTTTTCGTGAAGCTCGCGTTTTTCGAGCAGGGTTTTTTCTGTGTGCTTGTATGCCGCCGCCACAAGATCACGTGCCTCCTGTTCCACCTTTGCGTGTAGATCCTCAGAGAAGTTCATCCAGGCACGACCCTCATTACGATCGTTCGGCTTAAAGGCCAGCTGACCGATGGATTTAGACATGCCGTACATCAGAAGCTTCTCCATTGCAATGCGAGTAGCCCGCTGGAGATCATCCATGGCACCAGTTGAAATATCCTTCATAAATATCTTCTCGGCAACACGACCGCCCATAAGAACACATAATTGTGAGAACAAGAACACGTCCGTACGTGGCTCCAGGGCTTCGTCCTGCACCTGCTGCGTGTAGCCACCAGCCCTTCCACGTGGAATGATGGAAATTTTTACAACATCCTTCTGTAGTGGAGATATCCATGCCATGATTGCGTGGCCAACCTCATGATAGGCTGTGCGCTGCAGCGACGTATCGCTCATTCGCTGACGATGTTTCCTACCTATAAGGACATCGTCAATACTGTCCTGAAGCGTTTTCAACGGAACAACTTCCTCCTCAAGCATGGCTGATGTCAAGGCAGCTTCGTTCACGATGGTTGCAATTTGCGCTGGTGACACGCCAGGGGTGCGTTCAGCCAATTCAAGAGCGTACGCCTTGTTGCTGACGCCGGGGATGATCTTCACCGCAGCGGGTATTTCCTCCATCATGGAGTTCGTGACCTCCTCTTTCTTCTCGTTATTTGTCCCATCGCCCGCAGTAGTGGAGGAATCGGTGGCACCGGCTTCACCCTCCTTTCTCGTGCGGAATCGTTGTACTTTTGGCTTGCAGTTCGGATCCCCGGTAATGATCCTGTTCAGATAAAACTCAAATAGCTCTTGTCGGGCTTCCATATCGGGCATCGGAATATTCACCTTACGGTCAAAGCGTCCCTCACGTAGAAGGGCCTTATCGATGGCCTCCGGGAAGTTTGTGGCGGCAATCACCACAATCGCCTCTTTGCTAGAAAGCCCGTCCAGCTCAGCAAGCAACTGGTTGATGGTGCGGTTTTCCTCACTGCTACCTCCGCCACCCATACTGCGTCCACCCTGGTTACGAGATCCAATGGCGTCAATCTCATCAATAAAGACAACACATGGTGCGGCCTCCTTGGCTTGTTCAAAGAGTTCACGGACTCGCTTTGGACCACTGCCGCCAAAAATCTCAATAAAATCCGCACCAGAACAGGAGAAAAACGCAGTGCTAGCCTCACCTGCAACGGCGCGAGCCAAGAGAGTCTTGCCCGTTCCTGGCTTTCCGGTCAGCAGACAACCCTTCGGCAGGCGGGCACCCAGTCGGGTAAACCTTTTTGGTTCCTTCAAAAAGTCCACGTACTGCTTGAGGTCTTCTTTGGCTTCCGGAATGCCAATAACGTCGGCGAAGGTGGTGTTCTTAACATCTACACGGTAATTCTTTGACTTCATAGGGTTCATCATGTCCATCAGCCCACCCATCATTGAGTTCTTCTTTCCCGCGTCCCCAGTGGCAGCTTTGCTCATGGCCTGAACGTACTTGCGACGCATGTACCAGATTGGACCGACAAAAATGGCAAGATTAACAAAAAGTGGTGCCAACCAGCTGACGGCATTTCCAAGAACAGGTCCTGAAGGTCTTACCACGCCGTCGTAAAATCCCTTAAAGTAATCATTGTCCTGCTGGGGAGAAAAGTAATTGGGTGCAGGCGGCGCCAGGGGCGGTGGCGTGTAACCCTGTGGTACCGTCTGTTGACCATGCTGTTGCGAGTATAAATTTTGTTGCGGCGCACAAGAAACAAATTGCTGTTGATTTTGTTGTTGTTGTTGTTGCTGCTGTTGCTGCATATACGGTGGTTGTTGACCGTATGGCTGATGTTGTTGGTAGTACATCTGCTCAAAGAGCGACTGTCCACCCTGGCCACCTCGCTGATCGCCCTGCATAGCCAATACCAAAATGAATGACACTAAATAAAAAAATAAGTAAAAAAAAATAAATAAATAATAATAATAATAATAATAACTCGGATGTATGTATATGTATCAATTTACGTTCGCTCACACTAGGCTGCAAGGCTGGGCAAAAAAAGAAAAAAGAAAGCCAAGTGAAGAAGCAAATCTACATCCAAAACAGATGGCCTTGCTAGTTTACCCACGTCAAGGGCACACACACACACACACAAAAAGAGAAAAGATAAAAAAAGAAAAACGTGTAGAGAACGTGTGTTTTTCTGCGTCCAAAAGCGCAAGAGCATTTTTGGTGCATTTTTAAATAACCAAAAATCTACAAGGCATGACACAGCAGGGGATGCCACAGCAGGGGGACGACGTGTGGATACAACAAGATTATGGCTTAGAGTTCTTTTCTCCCTCCTCCAGACTGAGTGCTGCGACGCGTCATCGTGGCAGCAAGCATCAAGTGGACCAATGATTCATCATCATCATCATCATCACCATGTGACTTGCAGGAGGCAACTGAGCGGTCCAGCGAGTCCTCACCGGAAATAGTGCTCAAAGATTTCCCTAAGGGTGACACCGTGAGACTGTCATCACATTTGCTCTCTTTCGTAAGCGGTGTGCAGTTCTTCTGGCTCCCACCCATTTCCTCCGAAGCCTCCAAACGACTAGAAACTGTCAAAAATTTGCCTGCTGTCGATTGTCCACTACTTTTCAATCCCACACGGGGTTGCACAAAGTGTTCAGGGGTGCTCGCATTCCGCAGATGCTCCTCCAGCTTTTGACCAAAAGCAGAGACCATAAACCCAAAGACAGGCCTCTGGACGCTCCGTGCCGTTGCGGAGTCTCGCGTCCTCGGGGAGCCATGAGTCACGCTGGTGTACCAGGAAGGTGTGTAAAAGGGATCATCGCCGCGACTGCGCCGAATATAGGAAGAAGACGGGGATATCATTCTGCTGGAATGGCAGCTCCGGCTACACGCTGCTTCCAAACGCCGCGAAAGCGTATCCAGGATGTTCCAGCTTAGCAGCCTCTCGCGAAAAGGCGCACTGTAGCGACAATGAATGCTAAGTTCAATACGCTGCGTAAACTCCTCAGTGAAAATGATCCGACGCCTCCTGCGCTCCTCAAGCAACAAAAGCTGCTGCCTGTAGTGGTACAATAAAGGCGTGAGATTGCGCTCCACCTGCTCCGCTGACAGACCCTTCCATTTAACGACAAACTCTGCGTCACCCGTGTGCGTCGGGCCTTTTCCAACAGGGTCACGCCGCGCATGCTTCACAGGAGCAGCAGCAACATAGGCAAGAGAAGGGCCGAGGGGCGGCAAAATCACCGAGCAATCGCGCACCTCATCCGAGCCACTGTCCAGGACAGGAATCAACCGAGGAATGTGGTGTCGTTCTGACCGGGAGGGAGGAATGAGTGCCTCGCTGTACGATCCATTGCCCCATTGTGTGACGCTTGTCCGGGTGCTCACACTCATGGTACCGCTACGAGTGCCACCTGGCACCTCTCTTCATTTCACCACAAAAAAAAAAAAGAATAAAAATAAAACACACGTCCCATTTGTCCGCACAATACAACAGCCATAAAAAGACACAGACGCACAGACGCAGAGAACATCATCCCCAAAAGTCACAAACTAAAAGAGTGCACGATGGTAAAGAGAAAAAAAAAACAAAGTGGAGGCACTGAAGACGGTTGATCACGTTCTATGTTTAATTCCCGCATTATGCACCGAATTGCTACTGAGAACAGTCGCAACATTCCGCCAACAGTGCAACCATGAGTCGCACCACTCCATAAAGAAGAGCAGTAACTAATTATTTGACCCCGTATTTACAAAAAAAAAAAAAAAAAAGTGTCTCGTCACCAATCGGTAGAATCTCACAATCAGTGCCTCTCCGACATGGGCAAGTTCACATAACCCGCAACGCCGTTCCCCCCGTAGCCAACGCCCGAGGCCGACTCAAACCCACGTGCGCATTCTAATGGCTCGAGAGAATGAAAAAAATCCCTTTGAAAAAAATGCACATAAATTGTGTCGTAATCATTTCCCTCCTGTTTCTCTTCCGAAGCATATATTCGGCAAATAATTCTATCGTCATTAAAATCATGCGGACGCACAACAGCCAACTTCTTGCCAATGATAGGACTACGCGCCACGGCAACGGCGTTCCAACTGAGTGCAAGGGCCGCACCGTAAACCACACTGTCTGTTGACCTACACCAAATCACAGCATCGTCGTTGTGATGTTTGTTCTTCGTGCCCACCGGGTTTTCATCAACATCCACATGAAATAAAAATCGCGTCACAGCACTCGTCAGACCCCGAAGAATTCCCTCCTGATTGGTCCCACACGCCGTGCCAAGGTACGGGTTTGGATGCCGCTGAAAAAAAGGAAAACGACGAGCGTCGAGTATCGGCAGGTTGGCCGTGATGTCATAGGGAAATATCAGCGGCTCCACCACAATCTTATCAAAGTCAAACGCCTCAAACTCAAAGCGGCGGTCCAGCGACGCTGGTGGGCCGTCCCGCACCCACTCCACCACCTGTAGCAGCTTGGGTTTCGCCCATTTCCAGAACTCGCTGCTTCGCCTCACACGCCAGGCCACCACCTGGCAGACACATCGATCGAGGTACACAAAGAAGTCACATTCATCAGCGTTGGCAATTGCCATTTGCCCCTGCATTTGACAAAGATAATGCAGCGGAATACCAAACGGTTGATATTCCGGCTTTGACCCATCGTATAGGGAGTAATATGGTGATTTTATCTCTAGTAAACGGCACGCCCGCTGAGTGGCGACACGTGCTGGTGCCACTGTCCGCTTCCCCTGTCGACTCCATTTTGAGCAAAATGGTATCGGCACACTCACCGGAGTGTCTGGAGAAGTGTGTTCGATGTAGCTTTTCACACAGTCAGATGAACTGGGGAGCGACAAATTCACATCGTAGAAAATGCGTCCGTCTGGCGAGCAGCCTAAGAGCCGGTCGTCCGTCACAAAAAAACCTCCATCACTCACAGCGGTACCTGTCAAAAGCTCATACAATGCACGGGCCTTCGGCTCGGTTTTATTTCCATGCACAGTGCTGGCATTGCACTTAAATTCTAACTCCGTCCCGACGACATTGCGTAGATAGTCTACAAAATCCACGACACGTCCACAAAAGCCGAGTGCCATACCGAACTGCGACGCAGACAGCCCAAATGGGAACCCCTCCTTCCATTGAAGCTTTTTGGGATGCTGAGCCATGATTCGGCACGTCTACACTAAATCATTGATTTATACGTGTTGTCATAAAAGTAATAACGAAAATATAAATATATATATATATATAGACGCACCAAGAATATATAAACATTGCAGAATACATATAAACATACATATAATATTATATTATATGGACTGTCGATACGTGCGTGTACAAAAGGAAAGCGTAATAGAAGAGGGATGGGTTGGAACAGGAAACAAAATTTCCAACCTCACTTATTTTCCTACCTCAATGATGGCGGTGGTGGTGGTTGAAAGAAAGAAAAATTAATTCACCATTCCACCTAATTAGCAGAGCAAAAAAATAAAAATAAAAATATTTTCTCCAGCCAACAGGAAAATATCTATATATAGATATATAGATATCATGCAGAGCACTTCACAAACTGCCCCCGTGGATCACAGCGCAAAAGATCTTTTCGAACTTCACATTTCATAGTCTCCTGCTCAGTCCAGTTCGAGTCTCGCAGGACTTCTACACGAAACAATGCCCGGTCTTCGTCTCCCCATCGAACAGAAACCAAATGAACAATAGACAACTGAACTGAAAAGAGCTCTGCAGCTTCCCTCATTAGCTGCTCCGGGTCGTGTGGTTGATTGTACCAATGCAAGACATTTTTTGGCTTATGTGGACCTTTTCCAAATACAGGAAGAGTGATGAAAGTTGCTACTGATGCGCTCTTAAGGAAAGAAATAAGGGACCGCTGAAATGTTCTTTTTGTCGGGGTGTGTGCAAAGTTTTCAAAAAGAGACACAGCAACTTGGTATTCTGCCATTGTTTGACGGCCAGCCATGTTGCCAAGCCGAATAAGTGACATTGGCGGCGACAAACAAAGAAAAAGACGTGGATTTTCTAAATTATTTTGACTCTGTATGGTGTTCCATCTATTCTCTATCCCCTTCGATATTTGACGCAGAGAGGGACATGCGTTCCCCTCCGCGACCGATTGGGGACAGCCGCTTAGAACGACGCCTGTCACAAACAAATCCGGAAAAAAGCTTGCGAGAGACAAAGTCATGTATCCATCGTTAACGTCGTACACAAGCATCTGCAGCCGATTTCCCGGCTCAGGCTCTGCCTGGGTGTCTTTGGCTTTTCCATCTTTGGCGTTGGATCGAGCCCATCGAGCCAAATCACCCCGAATGCTGTAGTAAATCTGCTTCCACTCCTTCAAAATTGCAAGTCGCTCCTCTCCCCATGGAAACAAAAAAGGAGCGGTTTGCCTGGACGAGATCGCGTTCATTTGCTGCATGGTGTGCTGCAGCACCGTGTCGCTCATGCGTCCGCCCGGCATGTCAGGGCCGCCGGCGGCGGGAGAAGATGTGGGGGCCGGGGCACCCGGCATTGGCCAGCTGCCGACGGTGCACGACTCCACAAAGAACAGGACAACAAAGCCGCACAGCACCAATATTTTACTCACGGGAAAACGAGCGGGCCGCGGAGCGTGGGCGCAGCACTCGTCGTCCACTTCCTTCCAATTCCTTGCACACATTGTTGGGAAAGCCAGAAAAACTCAAAGACGATCACACGCCTCCTTCCGTTGCAATTTCTTACCTTTGCAACCTAATCGTCATGACGAAGAAAAGAAAAAAAAAAAAAAAAAGGAAAAAAAAAAAAAAACCAATACTAGAAAGCAAATAAAGATACACAAGGCAGTTAAGCTCATGCAAGAAAGCCAGAAAAAAAAAAAAAAAAAAAAAAAGATGGGTTGATAAAGCGTCTTCCATTTCAATGGCGCATTGCACAAATTACATAAGCCTCAGCCCCCTCCCCGCCCTTCACAAACCTTCAGCCCTTCTGTTTTTATCCAACTGCCTCTTGTGTTTTTTTTTTTTTTTTATATACGTATGTGTATAAAAACGCCTCGTTCTCTCATTATGGAAAAAACAATGACGAGAGAGCACAGAAACAAAGATGAAACGCAGCAACAATGCTCAGGCACCACGTATTTCTGTACACGCACGCACACAACGCAACCGGTAGAAAACATCAAAATGGGGCAGACGAAATAAAAACAAAATAAATAAATAAATAAATATCACACACACACACACGAAAAAAAAAAAAAAAAAGAATTTCTATGGTGTCTATCATGACGGATGCAACTCAATCGTCTGTTCTGTAAAATAACAATGGTGGCAGGATGAAGTGGAAAAAATCAAAAAGAGAAGAAAAAAGAAAAAAAAAACATGTCTACCACCACCGCATGTGCCTCTATGATACCGTAAATAAAGTGGAAGCCAATATCTGCCTTCATTCTACAGGTATTCATGATAAATAAGATTTGAAAACACAAATACACAAAGAAAAAAAAAGAAAAAACTCCCCCTCTCTACCGCAATCTTGTGCGCAGTCCGCTTTTCCTGTATTGGGCCTTGTCTTCCTTAGACATGGCTCCAGCAGGTACAACGTTCTTCACGGCGTTGTTGACATTCTGCAGCCAAATGCGAACACCAAAAATGCGGTAAAGCTCGCTGTTAAGATGCCGAAAGTCGATTGAACGAGAGGACTCATAGTAAAAGCTGATCTTCTGCTGATCAAACTGGTACTCACAGTCTACCACATCCATTTCGAGCCCCAGGCGTGCAACAATCTCACGGCATGTCCTCAATGCAAGGTTCTCGTTCCGTGCAATTTCACCAAAGAGGCGCTCTACCTCCTCCTCGCTTGCCACTCGCAGTACTCGACTCATATCAGACTTCATGCGGGCAACATTCACCATCGTGCCATCCAAGCTCTCCTCGCGAACAAAGCAGCCTTTTTCCGCATTCCACTCGCTGCATTGGTTCACAACGCCGCAGTCATACCCACGATCACCCTGCACAATGGCGTACTGGCCGGGAACAATAAAAAAATTGCTCTCGCACCGCTTCACACGCTGGCACTTGAATTCCACCAACAAAATGAAACAGTTATTTTTCGGCCAACTGTGCTGGTCGGCAACACCTCCGCCCGCTGAGACCGTCACTCCAAGAGAGGGAGACTTCTTATGATCAGTGATCTTGGCCTCCAGCGCCCCTGGCACTTCTGGATTTGGCATTTCGGATGTTGTTGCGTCCGGCTGCTGGGCATCCCGCGAGGCATCGCTCCGCGGCAAATGAGACTGCCTTTCTCGGAGGGCGTTGTTAAACAAAGCGGTCACATTTCTCTCCTTGTTGTGCAAATCAAGATGCACGGCCTCCGGAGATTCCGTCCTGAGCCTGAGCAAAGACAACCGTCCCTGCTGAGGCACCAACGCAGACAACAAATCGTATATGGTGTCAAGTTTATGCGAGAGAGCATCCACCTTTCTCGATAGTTCCTCGATTGCGGCGCCAGTCACGACGGAACTCTCCTTTGACTTGTGTGATTCGCTCTGCGGAAGAACCCGGCGCTTGCCTGATGCCGCATTTGTCACGTCCTGGAAGGACGTTGACTCCATTGCTCGCGATTGATCCTCCTTCGCTCCTCCTTATTGACCGCCCCACCCAAAGTAATATATATATATATATATATATTGGTATTAAAATTATTATGATCACAACAAAAAAAAAGACAGTCGGAAACTACATGGATAAGAACAGGCAGCCAGTTCCCTCGACAGACGGGCAAAAGGCGATGAAACAAACATTCAAAGAGAAGTAACTTCCCATCATCATCATCATCATCGTCACCACAACTCTCATAAGAAGAGACAGTCCACCCCCAAAGGCAACAACAATAAATAAAAAAAGGTGAAAAAAGAGCATTTGAAATATTCTTATGGGGTCAATGCCACATTCTACGCAAGTATTTCCCAGTCGCCCACAAATTCTTAAATCATTGTAAGACGTCCGATAGAAAATAAACACAATTATTTACATCCAACTCTCCCTCTCCGTCATGTAAAACGGTTGTGCGGAATCAACATCGCCATCGTCGTTGCCATTTGCAGAGAAGCCAATCCAAAAAAGAAGAATGCCTTCAAGGCACTGCAGCAATGCAGCCCGTCTCTTCTCATGTGAGGCTTCGTCAACCAAAAGTGGAGGATGTATTGCTTTGATCAGCGGCCTCACTTCTGCAAGCTGAAGATAAGGTTTCTCCGTGTGAAGGGAGGCAACGCTCGCCATGTGAAGATGAACGCCGGAGAGTTGCGCCACACGGTGGTAGAGCAGCTCGACATCTATCTCCGACGTGTCAAACGGCATCTGCACGCCATATAAACTCTCCAACGCGGGGCCCAACTCATGTGCCCAAAAATGCTTTGCCTTGGCGCCTGAAGACTGCAGCAGCCCCAGGAGAAATTCCTGGCAGACAATCTTCACCTCATCCACACTCTGCGCGGTGCGACGGAGTTTGTCCCGAAGAAGACGCACTGCAGTCCGTGCAATCATTTCAATCTCCAAGTAATGTGCCACGGCAAAACGAGAAACATGCGGAAGGCGGTAATAAACAAATGGAAGGAAACGCATGTTAAGTCCATTTGCGTGAAAGATGGAGTTAATGGGCGGTTCGATCAAAAGTCCTTTCGGACTCCGTACCGCGGTATCGCACTTCACGGCATCACAGAAGAGAAGGTTGTCCTTCTTATCCTCCGACAAGCGCTGCGTGTAGCAGTGGGAACAAATACAACAGCACATTTCTATACTATGGCACACCACAAATCGTAGCTCATTCTCCATTTTGTGAGAGCACAGCCTACACTCCACTGGATCTTGCCGAGGGACATCAACTGCCCGAAGAAAGCCAATCATCGCCGCAACGGCAGGAATCACCTCATCCCGGATCCACTCTGTTGCTTCCACCACATCAGCGTTATCTTCTGGTGTTGCCGCGTCCTTCACAAAAGAGTCAGAGCTCAAAGGTTTTCCATATGAAAGAAGAAATTCGGGCCGAAAACGCAGCATCACCGCTTCGTCGGCGTCGGCTTCAGTAATTGTAACAAAAACACATGCCGGAATGAGACGCGATGTGTTTATCAAATACAATCTTTTGTCATGGCCCGCCACAACAGCCATACCGAGAGGCGTTGTCAGTGTAACCACATCTCCCGTGGCTGACCTTAGATGGTGTTGCTTCAAATTAAGCGCCTGGCCCAAGTCCATCAGTTGGGATCGGACAAACTCCGGTGCGTCCAGAGTGCTTCCCCGCTCCTCCAGTGAGAGGTGCACAATATTTTTCACCTCAACGGGAGGAATAGCCATCACACAGCAGCGAAACCCTGTGAAGGTGATAAGAGCACTTGGAGGAGAGTAAAGAAGCCGCCTTGGACCTTCCAATGCAATAAGACGCATTGCCTGCAGGGTTTGTGACGCCTGTCGCCACGCATGTGTGTCTCCCCTTGTGTTTCCACTACCATCATCAATTGCAAGCTTCACGAGAAGATTATTATAAAGAAACGACCCTACACTGCCGACTATCGGTCCCTTCGCCACACGATCTGATGAGGGACGCAACATGTCTGCAATGACGCTGAGCGCCGCCTCCTCGGCCGCCGTCAAAAATTGTCTCATAAATCTTTGTAGCTCTTCACTGGCGGAAACACTCTTCTCCCACTTTTCAAAGAGGACCAACTCCACAAGCCGTTGATACTCCGCATTCCAGTCCCGTCCTCTGTTGGTCACGGCAGAAAAATTGTGCCAACACTCCTCAAAGACCCGCACATCGTGTACGGCAACGTCTTTTGATGGAGCGGCCTTTGAGTTCATCTCCAGCGGGATCACAGCACGGCGCAGCACACGCGCCTCCTCCTGTCGGTCCGTCTCAGAGAACCCCTGGGGAAGCAAACGCTCATTATACACTTTCTGCCATCTCGCATGCTCTTCGCTAATTTCCGTCTCCCTCTCCGTTGATAAAAGTGCCCAGAGGATATCTCCGTCATTCGCCTTCAGCGCAACCCACCAACTGCCGAATGGATCCATATACCGCCGGACCTCGCGGATAACAGTACCACACGGCACCACGCCGACCACGTCGCCGAGCGGTCCCTGGTGGAGTGAAGCGGACGCCCCAAGCAACTGCCAGTAAACGACAGACGCCTCCGACGATGCGGGAGCCGCCACCTGCGCTGCAGCAACAACCGGCGGCTGCAACGGCGCCGATGCATTGGAAACACGCGCCGCACTTGCCCGCCTGCCACCCCCCTGTTGCTGAGGAGGCAGTCGGACCATATGCGGAGAAGCAGGATCAACTAAAAACAACTGACTTCCCATTACAATAAAGCAACCCGCGATAACAAAAAAATTTATAGATATTAACATATAATAAAGAGAAAACACTCTCAAATTCCGCGGGGAATCAATCATCCGTGTCAACGCTTACCGAAGACGCACCCACCTCGACCCAAACCAACAACCGCATGCACACAATAAAAAGGAGCAAAATAATACTAAAAGAAAAAAAAAAAAAAAGAAAACCAGAAGTAAAAGCGAAAAAGACGCTCCCAAAAGGATTGGTTCTCTGCCTAAGCAACATGTTATCACGCAAGCCCCTTAATTTCAACTGAGCTGCCTATTTCTCCCTCTTGCCTGAGAGGTCCAGTTGCCAGAACAAAACTTCACCGCACACCAAACAGTACATTTCTCTGTCCAAGGTGCATACGTATCGTGAGAAGTGACGTCCCCCGGGACAATAACGCTCCGATCCTCGCCAATGCTACGAACACAACGCATTGAAACAAAACACACACACACACAAAAAAAAAAAAAGAAGATACATGGCCCACAAGGAAAAATAAACAAACAAACAAAAAGATGTTGCAGGCAACATAAAAAAACAGTCAATCCACTTTTGACTTCACATCATGGAGCAAGTCTGCGCCATCCCCGCAGGTTTTGAAAGTTGATTTAAAAACTCCTCCTCCATCACTTTTCCGGTCATGAGTCTTTTGCAGTAGGCCTCGCTCACAGCATTTGATGTCAAAAGACCGTCGCCAAGAAACTGACGTACATCCACGCCATGTTCCAAAACCATCTGTAGGCGCAGCTGCTGTTTTGTCATGCGAACGGTCGTTTTTGGTGCTGGGGCATTTTTATTTTTTCTTCGAAAGGCATGAAGGGCCTCCGCCTGTGACTGAAGCATACTGGAAACATACTGCCACAAGAAGCAAAACAAAGCCACAACATCCTGCTCGTGCAATGTCGGAGTTTTCTTTTTCCTGGAACCCGCAGCATCATGTGTCCCCGATGTCTGTGTCTCCGCCTCTCGAGAAGACGACTCCAAAGCCACATCGCCCTTTCCAACACCCTTCTCCACTTCTACAGACTTATTTCGAGACGGTGCAGATATCAACCGATCCTTCAGTACCCCGAACGCCATCTGCATAAACACGTGATGTGAGAGCGAGACCGGAATAGGGTCCCCAACGGTCAAGAAGTTTGGGCACTGACCAGGAGGCGATTTTGGGTCTCGTTCGTACCACAAAAGGACATAGTCGCAGCGCAGTGTATTTTGCAAATGCTGCTGTTTATTTAAAAAGGGCGACGGCTTCCGCTCCCTCCCCAAAGCGGAAGGACGCTGCTGCAGCTGCTGCTGTTCTTGACTTTGCGAAGTCGTCTGTGCCGCGTCTTTCATTGCAAATAAATGTGCCAAAAACGCCTGCAAGAAAAAAAAAAAATGCCAACAAACAAAAAAACGTCCCTCTTACCGCCTCCCTCACGACGCACGACAGACACACGCGGTGAAAACGACAGCAAAAAAAAAAAAAAAAAAGTTTGGTTTTTAAAAAATGACAAAAAAAAAAAAGAGTACACATGCAGAAACACAACTTCATTCTCATACAAATAATTGAGTGGAAACGAAGTCAAAGAATTGGATATATTGTCATCATTTCCTTGAGCTCCTCTCTCTTGTCAAATTCACCTGAAAGTAGGCACCGCAGAAACAACTACAAAAAAAAAAAAAAGAAAACACGTCTATTCCTGTTGAATTACACGCCAGGGACTCAATGTTGTGGTTTATCATCAAAACAAACTTTTCCTGCAGTTTCCTCACGTGCTCTTGCAGTCGTGTCCGCATCTCTTGTCATGAAAGAGTGGGTTGGTCCCCATCCACAGTCCCTCCTCCCGGGAACAGCAGATGCTGCTGTTCGTTTGAATACTTTTCGGATGGTGGTGGCGGTGGTGTAAAAAATACTCGTTCAAACGGATCAAATCGAGTTCCGACAGTACACCCATTCGCTCGTGGGGGAGAAGAAAACAACCGACTTCCGTCCCGGGGTTCCTCCACAGCTTCCTCTTGCCGTTGCGCAGACACACCCGTAGAAGAAAAAAAATCATCCAGAATATCATAAATTGCCTTGGCGCATCTCTCAGAGTCAGATGGCATACCAGAAGTACCTGCACTAACGGTGTTGACCGCGGTATTATGCGTGGTAAAACAGCTAGGCGTCTCAAACAAATCCCTCTCTATGGTGTTTGATGTCCCCAGTATAACATCAAAGCCGCCGCCTCTCTGATGTTCTTGTACCGCAGAAGGCGAAATCCCAAAAATGTCGGAGACGATATCACGATTTGAAGCCCCTAATTCACTGTTGGCGTTAAAAGTCATTAATAATTGTTCCAATTCCGGTGACATTTGGCTACTGCTTTGCCGTTCGCCTTGCTCTTTTTGAGAATCTCCCAGGCACTCTTGACTCTGTCTCTTCAGAACTTCTTCCTTTTTCAATCGTCGTGTTCTTATTTGCATCCCACCCAGGTCTATTGCCCTTTTTGAGGTCATTTCCGATGTGGCCGCCAATTTTTTCTCTGCTGGATCGTCCAAGGGCTTGTAAAACCTCTTTTTTTCGTATTTTATCTGGATCCACTTGAGCAGCATCCCGGAGTCTTCCTTCTCGGACGGTTTTACGTAGTCTGCGGGAAGAGTTG